GGGAGGGAGTACAAGGTTCGGTGTGACCCGTATAAGCCTGAAGCCAGGGCACCTTCCAGAACCATGGAAGAACAGGGCTAGCCCTCAGTAGCTGCAGGGAACTTCGATGTATTTATTTGTAATGAGGACTTTTTAATTTTTTTTTTTAAATGGGTAAAATTATAGTCTGGAAAACTAAAAGGGCTTGCAGTTGAAATGCTTGAGGGGCACTTTGCAACTCCTGAAAGCATCCAGCAGCTGTTGGTGGCAAAGGCTTGTCTGGAGAACCGAACACATTTCTTCATGTGAGCTGCTCAAAGTGGGTCTCTGAGGTCATCCGCTAAGCTGCTTCTCGTTGTCAAATGGCAAAAGCTTCAGGGGGAAAAGCCTACATGTTCATGTACATTACATGGCTTTAAGACTCAACAGATGTTCCCAGAGGCTCTCACTAGCCTGGACTCTGGAGGAATGCAGAAGTCACATGGCGGAGCTTCCGGGATCTGTCACAGCTTCCACCGCGCGACTGCGATGGGGACTGAGCGCCCGTGAAACCTGGGCCTGTATATTAGCAGCTTTGCTTGCCTGCTGTTACCTGTGCATTCTAGAGACTGTAAGGTTTCTTTCCTCTTAAATACTGTCTGGTTGATAGAGTCAATGAAACACCACCTTCTCCGTGGGCCATTTCCCTGTGGGCAGTACCGTCACTCAGCTTAGGCACAGATGGCTATCCTTAGGAGCAATGCTTTGGCGAGAACCACTCAGTCACATCAGGGTGCCATTGTAGAGAAAAGCAACAAAACCCAGGACGTTCCTCAGGGCAAAAGACCTTCTTTTTTTTCTGTTTTGTTTTTCGTAGCCAGGGGCCTAGAGAGCAAATGTGGACCTTTTTTTGACTTCTAGCCAATATTGGAACTTTGGTAGAGGTGTGAGTACCCAGGGCTACAGAGGAAAATATGAAGTTCAAGGGGGCTACCAGACTCAGCTTTCCAGTGCTTTGGAATGACCTGATCATGACTGTCTTGTCAGGAACAGGCCTCGGAAGGCTGCTTTCTGTAGTTTCTTGTCTGGTGAGCCTCCATGTAGGGTCTTCCTGCAGAGACTGGCGTGAGGCCTGTTCCCCAGGGCCTGGCCACATGCAGAGTCCGGGCGCTCCTGGCTTCCATAGGGTTTCTTAAAGCTCCTGACTGCATTTTAGCCAGACTTTTTCTGCTGTCACCTAAGTAATTAGAATTAGGGCAAAGACTCCAATGTGTGTGGGGGTCCCCTTACCTGCCTGCATTGTCTCTGTGACCAAGGACTTCCTGTCACTTTTCCCTCTTAAACCGAAGCAGAAATAACCCAGTAGCTCTAACCCTTCTGGCCACAGATGGGGTTTTGGCTAGTTTGCGATAAGCACCTTGTGGTGGTTGAAGCCAACAGGTCCTGAGGCTCAGCCCCAGTCCGTCTGCCTGGACCCTGGCCCGCCTGAGGAGGGCAGGCATTGAGCAGGAGCTCTGCAGAACTCTTCTTGTGTTTACACAACTCTACCGGGCAATGCCCTTTCTCCCCACCACGGAACTTTCCATCCAAGATGTCCGAAGTGGGTTGCCAAGCCATCAGGCAGCACCTCGGGGGTTGAGAGGTCCACATGGGTGACTTTTTTTTTTCTTAAACCAAGAAACACCAAAGAAAGCTGTGGAAAGGAGCAACCCCTCTCTCCCATCCTGCCCAGCTGCCGTGGAAAGTGCGAGAGGTCTGGCTGAGACGGGGGCATTAGAGCACAAACACTGTTTTCAAAAGCATCGTCAGGCCGGCCGGCCGGCTCCGCAGCATCTCTGTGCGGGCCAACAGGATGCCCACAGTCCCTTCCTGCTGGCTCATCCACGATTAACTAAGGGCAGCCTTGGCCTCGCCTTGAAGGAAGCACAAGCCCCACCCTCTTTTCCTGTCTTTTCTGCCTCCCGCGCCCCGCTCCCCCCCCCCCCCCCCCCCCGTACATCCCACAGGCTACTGGTGGTCCCCAGGCACCTTATAGAGCCCCTCATTGTCACCTGGGGCTACAGAGGCCACCCCCTCCTGGTCTGGCCTTTCCGTGGGACAGAGCTCCTGTCCCCGGACCTTCCTAGAATTAGGAGAACATCTGTACAAGTTGACACCAGGTTACGCCCTTGCCCATCTTCCTGAGGGCATGCTTCACATTGCCAGTACAGAACCAGAACCTCCATTTGCTCCCAAGGTGCTAGGGAAGATTGCCGGTTCCCCTCTTCTCCAGCCTCGTGGGCCCAGTTTCGTGGGACTTTGGACTTTTCTCTTTGGTGACCAATGCCCTCTGCTTCTGTCTTATTGCCCCTCACCCTCTCTCTACTATGCATTTTCCTTTTATTGGGTGTACAGAGTTAAATACTGTGTATTTATCACTTACGAGTCCGTGAACCGAAGAGAAAAAGATAAGCTTGCGGTTGCTTTCTTTCCCACAGGTGGATAAGCTTCTCTGTAAACTTGAAATAAACAGACAGCAAAATGGTGCAAAGCCTGGGCCTCCTGGGGGTTCTTCCGTCCGTCCGTCCGTCCGTCCGTAGCTGTTCTTTTGTGATGTTTCTGCTTACCTTGGTCGTCCTTCCCTTAGGCTGACAGCGAGTCAGATGCCCAAGTCCCAGTTAATGCAGCTGGCAGATCCCCTGATGTAGGCATGTCCTACGGTGTCACTACTCAGCATGATTCTGAGACCAGCCGTACACACAGTTCTTGGAAGCAGGTCAGAATGCATATTCCAGGGTCCCATGTAAACTGCTCCCAGGTGAGCCACTGGGAAGTCCAAGTCTGAAGGTAAGGGTAGGATTCTGCGAGGTTGGACAGGTGAGCAGCTATGAGACATGTCCTGTGGCTAGGCGTTGTTTTCCTGGCTTTGAATTTCCCTTTGAAAAAGTCCCATCCCGTGCTACATAAATACGGGCTGTAATCCCCATCCTCAGGAGGCCGAGGCAGGAGAATTCCAAGTTCAAGGCCAGTCTGGGCTGCATAGTGAGAGTCTATCTAAAAGTAAGACATAAAGGTCTTTTGCCCTGAGTCAAGAGGAGGTTCTTGTTCAAAAACAGCCACTGAGAATCTGAGGCAGTGGGAAAGCCGGTCTTCAGGGTTCATCGCTATACAGACTTCAGGGAGTTCTGGAAGCCCACTGGAAGGATCCTGTTCCCAGCTCCCACTGAAGAGGTAGCGCCAGAGTGTGCCAGTGAGAAGAGATGCAGCTGAATGCAGGATGATGCAGGTGAGTGGATTAGTGTCCCAAACATCCACCCTCACACCCTAACCTGAGAAGGTAGCATCACTGTGTAGCCTGGGATAGTGAACACAAACATTTGTTTTAGTCTGAGTGTGTTGCTGGAGCAGAGCGCCCCAAAACTGCCTAATTTGCAAATAGAAATCCCCCCAAATTTCCGGAGGCAGGGAAGTCCACGATCACCATTCCAGCAGATTCTGGGTCTGGTGAGGGCCAGATCTACCAGATGATGTTCAGAACATGGGAAGAGCACCAAGATGTGAGTCCCTTTGCCAAGCCCTTTTGATAAGGGACTTAATCCCATTCATGATGGAACAGTGCTCCAAGAGGCTCTGTCTCCTCATCCTCACATCAGAGATCCAGTTTCTAAAACGTGAATTTGAGGGGACATACTCTAACCATGTCAGCAGTCCTAAACCTTCCAGTTCCATTTGATCTGTGTTTAAGTAGCACCTAAGAAATCGTTCTTGCGTGTGTCTCTATATGCACATGTCATGTGATTGCCTGTAAAGGAGAGAGGCTGATGTCAGCTCCTCCAGAGCTGGAGTTATAATCAGCTGTGACCCTCCCGATGTGGGTGCTGGAAACTGAACTCAGGTCCTCCAAGACAGCAAAGGCTCTTAACCACCCAGCCATCTCCAGCCCAGATGGGAACACTTTAAAAAAAAAAAAAAAAAGCCATACAAACCAGAGTTTTGTTAAAACCATTTCATAAATCTTATTTCCACCCCCTCTCCACACACTTACCCAAAGCAAAAACCCAGGTTGGCCATTTATCCAGAAGGAATAGGACATTCCTAACCTGTCATACCCGAGTACTTGGAAATGAATTGACTAATGGCAAAGGGGAGGGATGAGCCACTTTTCACAGTACAGGAGGCGGCCAGTGATGGCTGTGAAAGCTGCGGGGCTGGAAATAGCCCCAGTTTGTACCTGTAGCAAGACAGATGCAGGGCCGTTCTGCTTCAAGGCGCGAGTGTGAGAAACTAACGAGGAGGGAGAGGGTAAGTCACGTCCCTGAGATTGTGTTCCCTAAAGAACAGTAGCCATTTTTATGATGATAGAAGCTGTTTTATGTGAACACACCAGCTATGGAAAGAATACGTACATTCCATGGGTGCACAACCTCATGAGTTGTGTGTTAATGAGTTAATCACAGTTCTTAGGCCTGGAGTTGTAGCTCTGTGAGTGGTAGAACATAAGACCCAGAGTCTAGTAGTTCCTAGCACCGCAAAAAAAAAAAAAATCCCAAAACTTGCCAGAAGCAAACTGAGCCCTCTCCTGAGCGCGGCAGCTGGCCCACAGAAGAATTCACTGTGAAGGTTGTCCCTGTCAGATAGTGACGGGGGGGACGGGGACACGGGACACGACGACGGGACGGGCCTCTCCAAAGAAGAGTGTTTATTCGGAGATGGTGGAGGGGTACAGTGCAGGGTGATGCTCTGTGGGCCAGGGCAGGATAGAGGTGGCATGTGTGGGGATAGGCAAGAAGGCTGGGGACAGGGCTGTTGTGAAGCGCATGCGCTTTGGTCCCAGGTCTACCATGGGCGGCGACCAAAGGGTGATTAGGAACTCTGGCTGCTCCCGGAGGTGACCTTTGCTGCAAGGTTGTGCTTAGGCATAAGCTTATTATTGGGCAGATGCCACATGAGGACCTCCCACCCCAGCCGGACCTTTCTTGTTTGGTGGCTCCATTTGGATGTTGACAACTTTCATAAATGGAAGGAGAACTCCAGCTCACATGCTAAGAGACCGCACAGACAAGGATTTTAAAAAGCCATTTCTTTTAATGGTTGGTCCTCGGTCCTTTCAACATAGCCCTTCTGAAGGGGAAAGCCAATTCTGTCTTGGTTACCAGGGACAAAGTCTCTAGGTCCAGGGAAGAGGAACAGTGCTCCAGGCCTGCTGGCAGCATCTGGAGAACTCCTTTATAAAGTGCTTGGACAGAGCTGCTGGGCCCCTCAGAGGGTCTAGATACCGGGATTTCCAAGGGAGCCAGTCCTGGAGACCCCGGAGAAGATGACAGTCCCACAGGCCACAGCAATGTCTCTGTTCTCAGACTGTCACATTACCTCAGTATGCTCACACTGCATAACACAGGACAGGTGACCCGGCCAACACCACCCCAGGAATCCACTGTGTGCGGTGAGCAAATGAACTCCCCACAAAAGGCGAGGTTAAAGGCTGTCTAGGGAGGAGGAATGTCTTGAGTTTGAGGCCAGCCTGAGCTACATAGAGTGAAACTCTGTAAAATGTAAAAGGTTAAAAAAAAAAAAAAAAAAAAGCCCAAACCCGCACTTCTGGGGACTGAGGCAAGAAGATTCTGAGTCTGAAGCCCAGCTGAGCTATGGAGCAAGACCCAGGCTCAAAAACGACAAAACAGCTGGGCGGTGGTGGCACACGCCTTTAATCCCAGCACTCGGGAGGCAGAGGCACGGGGATCTCTGTGAGTTCGAGGCCAGCCTGGTCTACAGAGCAAGATCCAGGAGAGGCGCAAAGCTACACAGAGAAACCCTGTCTCAAAAAAAAACAAAAAAAACAAAAAAAAAAAAAAAAAGAGAGAGAGAGAGACAAAACTAAAACAAGACCCGCTGGGCAACCCTGAGTGTTTGTGGAGTGGAGGAGACGGAATTAAACCCTGGGACTTTCTCTAGAGTGATGCAGCAGGCCATTTCACTGCTTCGACGAGGGCGCTGTGGGGTTGAAGTGTAGGGTCGGACATCACTGGTCCCTCTCACCCGCGAGACCCTGCAAAGGAGGGGTAAACATGTAGCCACCCAGTGTGTGTTGCCACCATGAGTCACCCAGCCACCCAGGGCAGGAGGAGCTTGGTGCTTCTCCTGAGGGTTTCTTAACAATGCAGACGCCTCAAGTTGGTTCTGGAGGGGTCTCACGGTATGGCCCAAAACCCTATTCCGCAAGAAGAATGTAAGTACCACGTGGGTGTAGATACTGGCCTGGTATCTTATCACAATCAAGGTTTGACTGATTAAAATAAAGCTGGGTTAGCCAGGTGTTGGTGGCGCACGCCTCTAATCCCAGCACTCGGGAGGCAGAGGCAGGTGGATCTCTCTGAGTTCGAGGCCAGCCTGGTCTACGGAGCGAGTTCCAAGACATCCAGGGTTACACAGAGAAACCCTGTCTTGAAAAACAAAAATAGGGGCTGGAGCGATGGCTCAGCGGTTAAGAGCACTGGCTGCTCTTCCAGAGGTCCTGAGTTCAATTCCCAGCAACCACATGGTGGCTCACAACCATCTGTAATGAGATCTGGCGCCCCCTTCTGGCCTGCAGACATACATGCAGGCAGAACACAGTATACGTAATAAATACATAAATCTTAAAAAAAAACAACTGGGGCCGGGCGGTGGTGGTGCACGCCTTTAATCCCAGCACTCGGGAGGCAGAGACAGGCGGATCTCTGTGAGTTCGAGGCCAGCCTGGTCTGCAGTGCGAGATCCAGGAAAGGCGCAAAGCTGCACAGAGAAACCCTGTCTCGAAAAACCAAAAAAAAAAAAAAAAAAAAAAAAAAAAAACAACTGGGTTTTAAAGAGGAAGCCCATCTGAAGAAAAGTTGGAAATAAATGCTACTATGGGTGGTCGGTTGACAGGTGACAACCTTTGTGGAAGGGCCTTGCCTGGTGTTCTACACTGGGACAAGACAAGGTGCGAGACTTCTCGCCTGCCTGCCGGGAGCACAGCCGCCTGCCGGGAGCACAGCCGCCTGCCGGGAGCACAGCCGCCTGCCGGGAGCACAGCTGCCTACCTGCTCGTAGTCTTCCACATACTTGTACTTCTTGTCCCGGTAGTAGTATCTTTTCTTCATGCAGTAGAGGACTATGACGTCACATAGCACAGTCGCCTGGTTCAGCACAGAACGAACCGGGATGCTTTGAGCTGTTGCGCTGTGCAGACCCCCTTCCTCTGAAACCCAAACTACCGAGGAGGGAAGGCATCTCCACTCCTCTGAATCAGAACGCACCCCGACCGAGGGGCTTGGTCTCAGAGGTGGGATGCCTAGGGCTTCCTTCCCTCACCCCTAGAAGCATCCAGTCTAGAGACAAGTTTGAGGCTCAGGGAAGGAGAGTGCTCACTAAAATCTGCTTGGCAGCGAGAAAGATCCAGGTCCCCAAAGGAACAACTTGCCACTCACCACCCCTAACAGCGCCAAGCCGGAGCCGACGTTGATCATGGTAGGGATGATGTCAAACTTCCCAGCCTGCGTAAGATAGGAAGAGAAGAGACGTTCTGATGGGAAAAAGCAGAAAATAGGACATTGGGAGGGCTCCCTCTCCCAGTGAGGTTCAACGGAGCGCCAACCTTTCCAAACACAATGATGTCAAAGCGGATGCCATATGCCTTGATGAGTGTACGCTGCTCGTTGCCAGGGAGGTCCCTGTAGTACTTGGCAAACCTGAAGGAGAAGAGGGCAGGTTAGGGAATTAGTGCAGATTTGGGATGCTAGGAGAAAGGTGCTAGGGAGGGACCCGAGTCCCCGGGCACAGCTGGTCTTGGCTAATGAGTTGCTCTGTGGGCTTAGCAGACACTAAGCACCCCAGGGCAGCCTCCCAGCTCACGTGAGGCAGGTGGCAGGAGGGGCCAGGGTCCCTCCTGGGGGAACAGAGTGACTGTCATCGCTGTCTCCCACAGGATGGCAGAAGCCTCTCGCTCTGAATGGCCTTCCTGATACAGCCAAGACACCTGCCTCCCTCCAGGGGACCCTGGCTGCCAACAGAGATCTTGTGAGCTAGCGGGATCTGCAAGGCTGCATTGAAGGATGGGAGCCAAGCCAGCCATGGCACTCGCCTCAGCCAGGGAGCTTGGCTTCAGGTGGGATGTGCCACGCCTCAGTGGTTCTTCCTGCCCTCCATCTGTTTTTTTTTGTTTTTTGTTTTTGTTTTTTTTTTGTTGTTGTTGTTGTTTATATGGCTGGGTTGAGATAATACAATTGAGCTGAAATACAACCACACTGCTCACCCACCGAACAACAGAATTCAAGCCAGGGAGTCTGCAATCCCAGAGCTCCAGAAACTTAAAAGGTCAATCAGTTGTTCTTAGAGATACAACCAGTCGATTTTAGAGTGTCAGCACCTCCAAAGGAAACCCTGCCTTTATCACTGTTCTACCAGACCCCTGCCTTAGCATTCTACAGGGATCTTAAGCCTGGGACGTATCTGGTCCACAATTTCTATGCTGGGGTCCAGGCTTGGGACTCTCAGGTGAGATTGGTGTTGGCAGAAGGCAGGAGCTGGGTGTCCCGCGGGATCCATCGACTTCTCAGCTCTAGGATGCCAACTCGAGCTTGAGGTCTCTACAGTGGTCTCTCCTTTTTTTTGTTTTTGTTTCTCTGTGTTTCTTTGGTGCCTGTCCTGGATCTCTCTCTGTAGACCAGGCTGGCCTCGAACTCACAGAGATCTGCCTGGCTCTGCCTCCCGAGTGCTGGGATTAAAGGTGTGCGCCACCACTGCCCGGCAATGGTCTCAATAAGAACCGTGCAGTAACAGAAACAGAACAATAGAAATCTGATTCCCAGGGGAGCGTTCAAATACCTGCCTTAACACCCCAACACAAATTTGATACCACAAATTACCACTAGAGGGAGTCGAGGGCAACTTTTTAAAGACCCACCCAGCAAAGGCACTTTTAATGTACACAGGATTTTGCTGCTTTAAGAAAATGGCAAAAGGCCGGGCGGTGGTGGCGCACGCCTTTAATCCCAGCACTCGGGAGGCAGAGCCAGGCGGATCTCTGTGAGTTCGAGGCCAGCCTGGACTACCAAGTGAGTTCCAGGAAAGGCGCAAAGCTACACAGAGAAACCCTGTCTCGAAAAAAAAAAAAAAAAAAAAGAAAATGGCAAAGGAGTTCCCAGGCCTCTCGTCAGATTCCCAGGTATCCTGGATTTAATAGTGCCCCCTCCCTAAGCACATGTCCACCTCGGGCCTGCAAATGTGACTTTCTTTGGAAATAAGGCTTTGCAGGTGTACTTAGTTAAAATGAGGTCATACTGGAGTAAGGTCCACCCTAAATCTAATGTTCAAGAGGAGGAGGCGAGACCGGGTCAGGTGTGGTGGTGTGTGCCTTTAAACCCAACACTCAAGAGGCTAAGGCAGCCCTATTTCTGGAGGTCCAGACCGGCCTGGTCTACACAGCAAGGTCCCAGCCTATCTCAAAAAAAGAGAAGGTGGGTGTGATGGTGCACACCTCTAATCCCAGCACTTGGGGTGATGGCAGGGGGGATCAGGAGTTCCAGATCATCCTCAGCTACACAGAGAAGAGATGTGCAGAGGGAAGAGAACCAAATGACTGACCACAGAGGTGCTGGCATACGTATAAGCTCAGGATTGCTGGGAGCCACCGAATGCGTGGAGAGGCCAAGATGAATCCCGCCACGGAGCTTGCGGCAGCGCGACCTGGCAGACGCCCTGATTTTAGACTTCTGGTTTCAGAACTACCCAAGGATAGAATTCTCCTTTTGAACCGTTCCGTTTTGTTAACCAGAGCCCAGGGGAAGCCGAGATACCAGCATTTTCAGCAGGCAGGTCTGAGCGCGGCCCTTTCTTTTATTTTATTGAGACAGGCTCTCGAGATGCAGCTCAAATTTGTGGTTCTCCTGCTGTGGTCCCCCAGGTTCTGGGATTACAGATGTGTGTCACTCTGCCTAACTTGATCACAGGCCTCTCTTGAGTCTTTACCCCTGGAACCTCTGCGTGCCGGGGCAGGATCAATTACTAAAAAACCAATTCCCGGACCAGATCACAATGGCCTTGAACAGAGTCCACAAGCTCATCTGTTCCTCCCAATAGTGAGCAGGGATGTGGCAGAAGATGGCCCTCGGAAGCCTAAGATACCAGCGCCTCTCCTTTACCCTGCAAAGCTCAACACAATTAAAAAAAAAAAAAGACTTTATTTTTCTTTTATATGTATGAGTGTTTTGCCTACATGTAAGTGCACCATGTACATGCAGTGCCCAAGGAAGCCAGAAGAGGGTGTCGGATGCCTTGGATGGAGAGTTATGGACAGTTGTAAACTGCCAGGTAGGTGCTGGGACTCAAACCCTGGTTCTCTGCAAGAGCAACAAGTGCTCTTAACTGCTGAGCACTTGTAGCATGAAAGAGCAAGGAGAGCGCTTGTGGCCTGGAATCACATGAGCAAGGCCCTGCTGGGAGTATCCTGCCAGGTTCCTGGCCTTCTTGCCTTGAACGGGTGATACACAGCCTGGCCCATGGGTACTGATCTTTCGGAGGGGGTGGGGGAGATATGAATAACCCCATAGGTATCTACTATCACCAACCCCTCCCCACCCCCCACGGCATGTGAGTGGCAGGGCCCAGGCTCACATACCTGAAATTGTAGCCAGGAGACACATTGTGTTCCAGGTCCCGGGTGTCCAGGCGCCGGAAGGAATATCTGGGCAGGCAGAGGGAGGCGACTCTATCAAGGTTACAGTCCCACTTGATCTGGATGCCCATGATGCCTCCCTGTGGGGAAGCAAGAGAGACCCAGCCAGGCTTTCAGAACTCGGGTTTGTGCTGAGGCCAAGGAGGTGTGAGAAAAGCCACCAGGCACCTACCTCAACTGCCATATCCTGGAAGCTGTGCCCTGCGTCCTCCACAATCTTGCCGAGACGGAATATGGGGCAGAAGGGATCCGTCTGAGCATCATAAATGCACGATTTGAGATAGGAAGTGGTGATGTTGGGGAGGATATTCCTCCTGAAGTCAGGGAAGAAGCAGAAAGTCTGAGCGAGGGGGACCTCAGGGAGAGCCAGAAGTTCTTTAAGAGGCTTGTGAACGCGCATGCCTGGGCCCCACTTACTTGCTGAAATTAAACTTGGGGTACCAGATGTTGTTCTTTACCAAGAGGGTGAAGTTCTCCGCGGCCTTTAAAAAAGCTGGCCTGGAAAAGAATGAACGGTTACTACACACACACACACACACACACACACACACACACACACACACACACGCACACACACACGACTCTGCAACCTTTGTAACAGTTTGCGGTGTCTCTCTCGAGGAGAAAGGGGAGCATCTGGCATTTTCTGCTCCCTTCTGGGTAACACTAGGTCACCAGGCCTTCTAATCTTTCCTCGGAAAAGGCGGGACTTCCTGCCCCAAGCATCAGGCAGTGAAGAACCTGAGCGTTTGCTGAGGCGGATGCTGGCTGTGGCCGCCATGATTCCTTGGCCATCTGCTGGCCTCGGGTTTGTCTTTTTGGGTGTTCATAGAGAATGGATCCATAGATGTGGTTTGTAAAGGCAGAGCACAGGGGCGTTCGCCTGCAGGTACATCCTGGCCTTGCTGAAAAGGAAACCATACCGCCAGAGGGCTCTGAAACGTGCCGCGACAACTTTTGGCTGACCGTACGAGGTCTGTCCCCAAGGGGACTCATTTCTGGAGTGGATGTTTCTCAGTGAGAATCCAGAAATGCAGGGCTGACCCTCTTGTGGAGGAGGCCTCCCCTGAGGCAGACAAGACCTTTGAAGTTATAAGTGGAGTCACTCAGCCCTGCCTTAACAGCAAAGCCACGAGGACCACATTGGGGGGGGTGGGGGGGGTGGGGGTGCTGAACCCATCACCTCTGCTGCTAAGTACAGGCCTGGAGCTCTTTCAAGCTCAAGTCCCCATTCCTTATCAAGAGGAAGGGATTATAAAGAATGGGGTTCTCCATTTTTATCATTTGCTGTATCACACGCCAATAGCCTGTACACCCTATAGGCAATACTTTCCATTAAGATTAGCTCACTGTTCTTTCCTTTCAAAAAAAAAAAAAATTGGAGTGAAATGTAAATAACATAAGATTAGCCATTTTAAAACAAGTCCACGTGGTCGGGTAACTGGTGGCTTTCGGTGGTGGCTCATCCCTGTCATCCCAGGACTGTAGAGACTGAGACCTGAAACGGGAGTCGCGGATTCAAAAAAGTTCTGACTTAGGTTTTGTTCTTTCTTTCTTTTTTTTTGGTTTTTCGAGACAGGGTTTCTCTGTGTAGCTTTGCGCCTTTCCTGGAACTCACTTGGTAGCCCAGGCTGGCCTCGAACTCACAGAGATCCGCCTGCCTCTGCCTCCCGAGTGCTGGGATTAAAGGCATGCGCCACCACCGCCTGGCGGTTTTGTTCTTTCTTAAGGTGGAAATAACAGCCCATTGTATGGACATACCGCAATTTGTATGCATTCATAAAAGTTCCCAAACAGTGCTATTAAAACTTGTTGAGCTGGGTGGTGGTGGAATACACCCTTAATCCCATCACTCAGGAGGCAGAGGTAGGCGGATCTCTGAGTTTGAGGCCAGCCTGGTCTACACTGCAAGTTCCAGGATAGCCAGGGTGATTCAGAGAAACCCTGTCTTGAAAAACCAAAACAAACAAAAAAACTTGTAGTCAATAATACTGTCTGTCCAGGGTGTGTGGTCTGGGGCTTGTTCTTTGTAAGAAATAACAAATCAGCAAGTGATAACCAACACACCCCAAGTCAGGGTTTCCTCCTTGATTTAAAGGGAGGGACTGAATAAGGCAATAGCCATTTTCAGTGCCTGGGTGGGCATACAGATATTGTGCCTGTGTGCACACCTGGAAGCTGGAGTACATACAGCCTTAGGTGTCTTCCTCATGAACAGAGTTCACCTCCTCTGACACAAGGTCTCCTACTGGCCTGGAGTGAGCCCCGGAGATCCCTGTGTACACCTCGACAGTCACAGGGATTACAAGCACGTGCCACCATACCCCAATATTATCATGTGAATTCTCAGCGTAGAGCAGGTCCTTGGGTTTTATCAACAGAGGCATTCCCTCCTACACCCCACCTCTGGCTCCAGCTGCAGGAATATCTTTCTCACTATGTGACCCAATGGTATTTTCTAGACCAGATGCCCCACCAGCTTAGGCCGGCAACCGTGCTGTCCGATAGGAATACGTTGTCAAATACAGCTTCAGCCACGTTGTGATTGATTTTGTTGTTTCTGCAGATACAGTCTCCATATATAACGCAGACTGCTCTGGGTGCCACCCTCCTCCTGCCCATGCTTCCTGAGTGCTAGGATCACAGGCATGCAGCGCCAAGCTGCTCTACACTGTACGTAAGTTTTTACATTAAAGACGTCATTGCGTGTGCACGCACAGAGGTCAGACGACCATGGGCAAGCCGGTTCTCTCCTTCCCCCATGGGGGTTCGAGGGACAGAATGCAAGTGTTCTTTTCTGCTGAACCATCTTACTGGCCTGGCAGCCACATTTAAAAGTCAAAGAAGGTGAACACTAAAATGACTGAGCAGGTTGTATTTATATGTTTATTCGTGTGTGTGTGTGTGTGTGTGTGTGTGTGTGTGTGTGTGTGTGTGTGACAACACAGAAAAGCAAAACATGAAGTCAAGAATTTGGGAAAGAGTAGGGGTGAGGCTATATAGGCAGAGTCGGATGGAGGGAAGGAGGGAAACGGTGTAATTATAGTTTAATTTGAAAAACTTTTTTTTTTTTTACGTAAAAGGAGAGGGTGAGAGACACACTCAGCAGTGAAGGGCTTTTCTACCTTAGGTCGGGTGGACCACAACTGCCTCTAACTCCAGCTCCGGAGGATCCAGCGCCCTCGACTGGCCTCACGGCAGACACTTGATGGACCTAAACATGTATTTATTTTTAATCTTTAAGAAATTTAATTGATTAACTACTTGGGTTTTTAAATTCATTTTATATCCATTGGTGTTTTGCCTGCATGGATGTCTGGGCGAGGGTGTCAGGTCCCCTGGAACTGGAGTTACAGACAGATGTGTGCTGTGGGATGTTCTGTATGGCAAATGTGTTGCTAATTAGTCAATAAATAAAACACTGATTGGCCATTGGCTAGGCAGGAAGTGTAGGTGGGACAAGGAGGAGAATAAAGCTGGGAAGTGGAAGGCTGAGTCAGAGAGACACTGCCAGCTGCCATGATGAGAAACAGCATGTGAAGATGCCGGTAAGCCACGAGCCATGTGGCAAGGTATAGATTAATAGAAATGGATTAATTTAAGCAAGTTAGCAAGAAGCCTGCCATGGCCATACAGTTTGTAACCAATATAAGTCTCTGTGTTTACTTGGTCGGGTCTGAGCGGCTGTGGGGCTGGCAGGTGAGAGAGATTTGTCCTGACTGTGGGCCAGGCAGGAAAACTTTAGCTACAGATGTGAGCCGCTGTGTGGTGGGGTGCTGGGAATTGAACCCAGGTCCTCTGGTAGAGCAATCATTTCTCTTAACCACTAAAACCATCTCTCTAGCCCTTTAATTGGGTTTTTTGAGGTAAGGTTTCTCTACATAACCCTGCCTGTCCTGGAACTCACTCTGTAGCCCAGGCTGGCCTCGAACTCACAGAGATCCGCCTGCCTCTGCCTCCCGAGTGCTGGGATCAAAGGATGTGCGCCACCATGCCTGGCTGCTTAGTCTTGTTTGTTCGTGGGAACATGAAATGTGCTGGTTGTGTGTGTGTTGGGGGTGGGTGTACGTGTGCATGGTACTGCAGCCACCAAAGGCCAGGTACGATAGCTTATGCTGGTATTCCCGATCCTCGGAAAGCTGAAGCAGGAGGCCAAGAGTTCAAGGCTGGGCTGGTGGCAGGGCTTAGCAGGTCAAGGCACTTGCTGTAATGCCTGAGGATTTGAGTCCCATTCCTGGGTCCCAAACAGTAGAAGGAGAGAGCTGACTCACAAGTCGTTTTCCAAGCTTCACGTGTGCCGTGGCACACTTACACACTTAAACACACACACACACACACACACACACACACACACACACACACACAAATGTAATTAAAAATCGCTTAACAACAACAACAACAACAAAAAGAATTTGGGCTATGGAACAGCATTAACTTAATGTGCCAAAAATTATCAGAGGCAAGAATAACTAAATAGAACCTGCCAGAATGATTGTCAATTAACTTTTGGAAACGCTTAAACTTCAGTGCTCCTCATGAAACCGAGGGAAGAAAATGAAAATAGAGATATGGAATTGAATGGAAAAAAAAAAAAAAGCGTTCGGAGCCATCCCTGGCCACATAACGAGTCTCTTTCGAAGAAATCAAGACCAAAACCCAAGAACTGTTTCCTGTTGGTTACGTGCAACAGACGGTGCTCCAGCACCCATAAGTCACCTGACCCTTCTCACAAGTGGCAACCCCTGTGGTCTCCCTGCTCTGTGGTTGACAACCACTCTCCCAGGGTGGAATGGCCCCACTCACTGACCAAGAGTGCACCAAAAACATCCCAGCACCCAAGCTCACCTCACCCTGTCACCTCCCTCCAGGCTGAAAACCAAGGCCAGGGGACCTTGGGTAGGACTCACGTTGGCACGCCAGCGTCATTCTCCACTGGGCACCAAGCCGCCACCTCGCAGGTCTTCATGGACTCATTGAATGGCACACATTTTCCGGTCCCAATTCCTGGGAAGAGAGAATAGGTCCAGGTCCATAGGGGTCTTGTCGCCGACCTTTTACCTTTGCGTAGTACCGTATGAGAGCCCTGAGGAGCCCGGGCAGCCCAGCTTTCGTAAATTATGGGATTTAGACGGTGTCTAGAGGATGGAGGTAGAACAGGAAGGCTGCCTCGGAGTCGGCCACGTATCTGCCAATGTGATACTAAGTCACAGGGAGGGGCGACCTCTGAGGTGTCTGCTGCAACACAGGTGAATGCTAAGAGGGTCCCTGTTCTGCTATTATATGAGGTTCCCCTAGGTTCATGTAGCATTGTGGCGGGGGGGGGGGGGGGGGGGGGGGGGGGGGGGGAGTTTCTTCTCTGGTGATGGACTAGAACTGAACCCAGGTTCATCCAAACCAATCTTGTGCTCTACCATCGAGCAGTAGCCCAGGTTGGGGTGGGGGTGGGGCTCGGGAGGCAGATTTTTATCTCTGCAACTTCTCTATCTCAGACACACCACAGGAAGTGTGATGTCACCAGAAGTCACTTTCCCCAGGCTCAGTGCCGCCTGGCTGAGAGGTCCCCAGCCGCTCAATCACCTCACTCTTACCGTTGCTGTGGGTGCCTGCGGAGCCAAGAGTGCAGTCGGAGTCTGAGTTACAAACGGTGGTCTGATCGGGAATCTGGAAAAGGAATGAATAGAAACCCGTTCCATGTGGTCTAGTCCCCCCCCCCCCCCCCCCCACACACACACAGAGTTTGCCAGGAGCGGATGTGAGTATAAAGCCTGGGGGGGCTTTCCCACCTACTTCTGGACAGGTGCTCTGTGTCTGGTTCACAGTGATGATCATGTTGGTCATGATGAAGAGCGAGTTTTCCTCCTGCGGAGGGGAGAGAACCCTGTTGAGTCACCCTCAGAGGAGGTGAGTGGGGCCGCAGAGAAAGCCAGATGGGGCTGGAGAGATGGCTCAGTGGTGAAGAACTGGCTGCTCCTCCAGAGAATCTGGGTTCAGTTCCCAGCACCTACATGGTTGGTGACAATCATCTGCAACACCAGTTCCAGGGGATCTGATGCCCTCCTCTGACTGCTGCTGGTACTGCATGCATGTGGTGCACATACATTCTGGTGCACACACAGACACATAAAATATTTTTTGTTGTTTTTTGGTTTTGTTTTTTTCTTTTCTGGAGCTGAGGGCCGAACCCAGGACCTCGTGCTTGCTAGGCAAGCACTCTACCACTGAGCTAAATCCCCAACCCTAATTTTTTTTTTTTAAAGCATGCTAAAGGCTGGATATGATAGCACATGCCCTTAATCCCAGTACATAAGAAACAGAGACAGAAGGATCCTTGTGAGTTCAAGGCCAATCTGGTTACATAGCAAGATCCAGGTCAATCAGGGCAGTATAGTGAGACTGTCTCAAAAATAAACAAACAAACAAACAAAGTAAATGAATAACTATTCTAGGGAAGAGTCTGTCAGCCAGTAACAGACATTTCTCTTTTTGAAGTGGTTTTGTTTTCTCCTCATAGATACAAAGGTGCCAACCCAGAGTCTCTTAGAAAGCAATTCTCTGTAGATAAGAGAGAGGAATTGCTAATTTTGACCCCCTCATACAAGGAATGACAGACAATGACCCCAGGAGATTCAAATTATACATCCCACCCCCAACCTCCACTGGGTGCTTGGAATTTTAAAGGTCTACTAGAAGCTTCCAGCATTTCATACTTCCTCCCCAAAAAAGCAGAGTCAGCTCTGGGAGCCATTTCGGGGATCAGGTCTCTGCAGCATCCCCACCCCAGGTCAGACAGGTGGGGAATGCTCTGGCACCAGCTAGAACAAACTATTCTGGGAGGCAGGCCACAAGGGAGGTGCAGCAGGAGTCTCTCTCCTGACACCATGCCACCCTTCCAGTGTTTTAACAGATGGACAACCCCTCAGCTGGTGCCAACAGAAGTCTTGCTTCTGAGCCCCGCTCGCTGAGTTAGGCATGTCCAGCTCATGGTCGCCTACTTTCTCTTTCCTGTTGCTTATCTCTTTCATGTAGGGAAATGTCCATCTAAAGATGCATCACATAGATGTGGTGGTTATGTTCCATCCACGGAGACGGCTCAGGAAGACAGAACACAGGGGCTGGCTGGCTGGTCCCTCCCGTTCAGTCCCAGGAGCAGGGCTTATGCCCTCCTTCCTTGGCTGCAGCGGGTACGCTGGGTGTGACAGTCCCAAGCTTGTTAGGATGGAGTTGGAAGCCACCACCACTCAGCTGAGACTGGTATGTACCAAAAGAATACCCAATGGCGACCACTTGCTCCAACTGGCTTAAATTTTTTTTTTTTTAAAGACAGGGTTTCACTGCGTAGCTCTGAATGGCTTGGAACTCACTAAATCACTACATACACTAGGCATGTAGACAGAGATCTGCTGGGATTAAAGGCACTCACCCCCATGCCTGGCAGTCCATTTTATTTTTCTGTCTCTTTAGCTCTGGCTTTTCTCCCACCAAGTCCTTCTCCAGAGAAGGCCGGGGAAATTAACACCCTTAAAGAGACTATCTGAAGTCCTTGCTTTCTCTCTCCTAGCTCCAAGTCAAGTGCTCACAGCTTAACTAATGTGGCCACCATACACACCCAGCCAACATCTCAGCCATCTGGAAGAGAAGCTAGGCCAGGGTTTGGCCAAGAGGCACATAGCTGAAGAGTCAATGTTTAACTTGCAGCTTTGGGGCTGGAGATTTGGCTCCATAGCAGAGCGCGAGCCTGGCATGTGTGAGCCCCTAGGCTCCATCTCCATGTCTAGAAAAAGAGACCAAAATGTCAACTTGCGTCTGTGTGCATTAACAGACAGTAGGTAGGTTAGGACGCGCCATGTAACAATTTCTTCCTCTTTGTTCCGGATGGAATCTGACCATTTCCTCTTAGTTTGGGTGTGTGGTCTTTAACTGCTGCTGTTTGTGTGTGTGTTTCTTAATATGCCCTCTGACGAGCTTTACCTTGTGGGTGTAAGACAGGAAAGCAAACACAGAGTGCGGAAGGTGCTATTTTCCAGCCTCACTTTGTCCAAGACTAAAGAAAGACCTTTGCTTTCTCACCCTCCAGAGCTTGGAGAGGTGGAGGTGTGGGAAAAGAGAGTCTGGGTTGCAGCCAGCCACACTTCAGAGCAGTTAGGAGAGCTCTCGAGGGCTCTCGGTCAGAAATGACATCCCAGAGATCTGGCTGCATTGCTGTCTCGGGCTAAAACAACCTGGGCAGGGAGGTGGCGAACTCGGCGTGCAGAAGCAGGAAAGGGCTTCTTGTGCACAGACGTCACCACCGCGACACCTACCTGAGCTGGAACCACATAGTCCGCCACGTCCCAGATCCGGAATCCAAGTTCAGAAGTGTTGGTCACAGCCACTCCTTTGGCCTTGGTTGTCACTGAGCTGACCACAGAGTCAGTTTCCTGGTAGCCTTTTTCCCACACAAACACCCACCTAAAAAAAAATACAGCAGGTCACACAGGAGTCTGTAAATTCGAACTGACACCAGGGAGTCTCCGATAGCCACCCGGTGGGAGTGTGGCATTAACGAACCACGTGACTCGCGAAAGCTGCTGAACCACTACACTCCAGTGTGTAAAATGGGCAGAGTAGCCCCACTGATTATTTTCTGAGCAATAAACGATGTGGGTCGGCTAGCACAGTCATCAGCACGCAGGGAGGAAGGCCCAGCAAAGGCTGTCTTGATTCCTGGATGTTTGAGGGGGCTCAGGACACTGCGATCTATGGGAATCACCAGTAGTGGGTTATTATAACAAGAGCTTCCATTTGATTTCCATGTAGAAAGCCATTTTATCCTGACCATTTAATTCATGAGGCACACAGCATTCTTTTTACCCACAATTTACAGAGATAGGAATAGAGACAGAGTGGTTAAGTCACTTACCCAAGGCCATACAGTTAGCAAGTGGCAGACTAGGGATTTGAACTCAAGCCAGAAGCCTTTGAAGCCTCTGATCTCTAGCCAAGAGAATCCTATCTTTTAGGTAACTTTGTCTCTTTAAGACTGGCTTTTGCTACGTAGCCCTGGCTGGTCTGGTACAGGCTATGTAGCTCGGGCTGGGCTCCAATTCTGAGGTGACAATCCTCCCACCTCAGATTCCCAAGTGCTGGGATGATAGGTATGTGAAACACTACACCCAGCTGATGTGTGTGAGCACACGTGTGTATGCGTGAGATATTGTGTTTGTGTGTGTAAGTGTGGGCTCACATGTAAAAGCCAGAGGATAACTTTTAGAAGTTGATTTTCTCCATCGTAGACTCTGGGGTCAGATTCAAGCTGTTATGCTTACATAACAAGCATTTTGTTGTTGTTGTTGTTGTTGTTTTCGAGACAAGGTTTTCTGTGTAGCCTTAGCTGTTCTGGAACTCACTCTGTAGACCAGGCTAGCCTCAAGCTCAGAGATCTGCCTGCCTCTGCTTCCTGAGGACTGGGATAAAGGTGTGCACCACCACACCCAGCTAGCATACACTTTTGGAGACTCAGTCTTGCTATGCAGCTCTGGCTGGTATTCAATACAGAGCCCAGACTGACCTTGAACTTAAAATGATGGCCTGCCTCATTCTCCCAAGCATTAGGGTCACAGGCATGCACCATGTTCTGCTCAGGGAAATTACATTTGTGTTCTTGTGTGTATGTTTGCATGTGAAGGCCAGAGGGCAGCCTCAGGGACCTTCCTCAGAAGATATCCATTTGGTTTGGTTTTTGATTCATGGTCTCACCATGGAGCTCTGGCTGGCCTGGAACTTACTATGTAGACCAGGCTGGCCTTGAACTCAGAGATCTACCTGTCTCTGCCTCCTAAATGCTGGGGTTAAGGATGTGTGTGCCACCCCCATGGCTGGCTCCCACCTCGTTTTTTCTGAGACAGGATCTCACTGACCTGGGGCGAGATGATTAGACTGGCCAGTGAGCTCCAGAGACCTACCCGAGTCTGCCTTCCCAGTGCCGGGATTACAATTATGTGATACTGCACCTAGTTCTGAATCTCGAACTCTGGTCCTTGTGCATTGAGTACTTCACCAGCTATGCCCTTAGCCCCTCGGGGAAACTTTACAGTACTGTCTTACTTTTTCCTAGGAATTCTGGTCATCGGATTGTGCCTCTCCTTCTGAAGTAAGGGTATTACTGCTGGGCTAAATAATTACAGATCTAAAGGCATCCGTGTGCTGGATACCGAACATGAACTGGAATCACTGAGTCTCAGCTTACGCTCAGTCGCTTTTCCTACCTTTCCACTGGAACGAAAGCAGAATGCCACAGGATTGCAGCAAGATAAAATAATAAGGCCAGAGCAACGTCCTAAGCACCACACAGCAGTCAGAACTCTAGCCCCAAGAGCTGCTGTTAAACTTCCAGAGGACACCAGTTTGCTGCTGTTGCAGAACCAAGAACTTCTAGGGTCCATCTCTTTAGGAGACACCCCTCCCGACCAGACTTCAGAAATTAGTGTATTCCGTTACTTTTTCATGGGTTTGTTTGATATGAACCATCTCCAGATCCTCTGCCCGTCCTAAATATGGGTTTCTCTCCCACCAAGTCCTCTTCTTCGGGGCTTTTAGGAACCCACTGGCACTAATGCTCCCTGTAATCCACTTTGACACAGAGCTTAGGCAGACAGTCTAGGAGTTTTAGGAGCCAGAACACTGAGTTGCTAAATTGAGGTGGGTGGGGAGGGAGATATGGTGTCATCATCACATGAATAAGATCACTGGGGAGTCTGAGGTCAGTGTTATTTTGAGGAAAGATCTGCTTTATGGAAAAGGAGATTACGCTTTCACCAAGATTAATGAAGTCAGGAAGCTAACAAAGAAGTCAAAAACCGGGATGTGATGAATCGTCTTTATAATCCCAGCACTCAGGAAGCTAAGGCTTGAAGCTCACTTGCAAATTCCTCTGCCAGCCTGGGCTATGTAGCGAGTGAAAAGTTACCATGGGCTATATGGTAAGGCCCTGTCCCAAACAATGACAAAAGTTTAAAGTTTAAAACAAGTCCTGAATTTATATCCTAAGTTGATTGGGATCATAGTAAGATGGGTGAGAGCAAAGCATTGTTTTTTGGGTTTGTTTGTTTGTTTGTTTTTTAAGAAATGATCGGGGCAGACATTACTACATAAGGAGACTCCATAACTATGCTGCCCAATAGAAATAGAATACAGTAGGGGCGGGGAGTGTAGTTTAGTGGTAAGAGTCCATGATTAGAAATACAATGTAAGCCAGGTGTGGTGGTGCATGCCTTTACCTTTAGCATGTGGGAGGCAGAGCTCTATGAGTTCAAGACCAGCCTGAGTTACAGGCCAGATAGAGATCTTGTCTCCTAAGAAAATAAAAAGGCACTGGAAAAATTAATGACATATTTTTATGTGGTCCAATAGAGATAAACTATTTTTTTTTTTTTTTTTTTTTTGGTTTATCGAGACAGGGTTTCTCTGTGTAGCTTTGCGCCTCTCCTGGAACTCACTTGGTAGCCCAGGTTGGCCTCGAACTCACAGAGATCCGCCTGGCTCTGCCTCCCGAGTGCTGGGATTAAAGGCGTGCGCCACCACCGCCCGGCGAGATAAACTATTTTAACATCGTCAGTGTCTAAGGCATCAGACTGGGAACTGGACATGGTAGTGTACACCTGTCATCCCAGCACTTGGGAGAACAGGCAGGTTTGGGAGCCCAAAGTCATCATCCTTGGTCACAGAGTGAATAGGACAGCCTGGGTTACACGAGACCCTGTCTAACCTAAGCCCCCCAACCTCCTCCCCAAATAAAAGCTTGTGAGATGGTTCAGCAGGTAGAGGTGATTTCTGAGCAAGCCTGAGACCCTGAGTGTCATCCCCAGAACCGCTAGTGGAAGGAGAGAACATGACTCCTCTGCCCTCATGTGCTATGGCATGTGTGTACCCTCACTCATACACAGACACACACACACCAATAAATAAAATCAACATTTAAACAAAGGATCCAGCCCAATAGCACAAGTTTGCCTCGTATGCGTAAGGCCTTTGGTTTGATCTCATGAAAAGGTACTGTTGTGATATTTTACTTTTTTTTTAAATACAATATCTAAAATATTTTCAAAATCTAGCGTGTATTTTTCAGTTTGCGTGCATTTTAATTTAGAAACAAGCTTGCGCAGTCGGTGGCCGCAGGTGGTCCTCTCACGATGACAACAGCCACAGACCCTTCACAGGACAGAACCTGAACAGTGAACAGATGATCCCAGCAAAGCAAGAGCCGAGAGCCCAAAGCTCCGTTAGAGCTCCAGATCCCAGGTGTTTCTAACCCAAGCTACTTAGTCAGCTAGCAGCGTGTCTCGGTACTGAAGAGTCCATGGCGAACACTGGAACACTCACTTGTGAGTGAGCCTTCACAAGTTCAAACCTGGATATGGACAAGGTGTTCTTCAGGTACTGTGGCGGAATCCAAGGCCTCGTGCATGCTAAACAGACACTATATAAAAACTTTTCTGGAGACAGGGTCTCGTGTGGCCCAGACTGGCTTTCAACTCCAATGTCCTCCGGTGTCAGCCTCCTGAATACTGGGACGGCAGACGTATTTCATTACGACCACACCAGGCTTCGGCCAAGTTACCTCTAGTGCCTGCTGCTTCTGGGCTGACATATGTTGGGAAGGAAACCTGCAATCTTGTGAATTCCCTTAGGCAGTCTGAACAGATTCCAAACTACACACCAAAGCAGGAGACCTGTTACTTTGTTATTTATTTTCTTTTTGAGACAGGATCTCACTTTATAGGTCTGCCTGTCCTGAAACTCACTATGCAGACCAGGCTGGCCTCAAACTCACAGAGATCCGCCTGCCTCTCCCTCCCCAGTGCTGGGATTAAAGGCTGTGCCTCAGGCATTCTTAACTACTGGGCTAGCTCTCCGCCACCTGTGTGCCTATTTTATCATATACCTGGGGTGGGGAGGTGTCACAAAAATTTCTCAGCTGAGTATGGTCAGGCGCAGAAAGTTTGGCAAGCCCTCCTTTACAGCTCTATGCTATAAACTGAATCACCGGTCAGCTTGTGAACTGGCAATCAGGATTTTTCTAAGGCTTCCTAAATGGTTCCAAGGTGTAGATGAGGAATCCTTGCTGTAGGCCCTTTAGACTGGACAAGAAAGCCGATCCACCTGCCAAACCAGCAGCTGTTGAAGCTAGAGTACCTCGAAAGTGGGCCCACGAGGCAAGGTGGTTCCCACCTGCTCTCCTGGGGTGTATTAAATTCTTACGGGTGCATTCAATTAAAATGAAACATTTAATAATACCTAGCGATGGCAGGGTATATATCAACAGTCAATAGGGAGCAGAGGTTAGAATCCGAATAAGGCAGGTACCATATTGCAAACACTCCAACAAATCAAAGGAAGTGACCTTAGGGCATTTTTGGGAAGCGTGACATCTCCAGGGCATTGGGTTATCAGGAGATTCTTAGAGGACGGGAAACCACAGACCCAGAAAGTACCGAATGAAGATCACAAGCCTTGTTTTTTGTTGTTGTTGTTGTTCAGCAGATTTTGAAATGGAAACGACGAGGGAAGATCGTGACCTTTAGAGCAAAGCCCTCCCTCCACCAAGTCCACGGAGCAAGTTGTAAGGTAAAAGGGCAAGAAAAGTGGGGTGACAGTCTAGTCAAGGCTTAGCTCGCGGGACACCCCAGTGTCCCCCCCGTGTCCTGCACAAGCCGGTTCCAGGTGGCTAGAGCCCGGGGAGGGCGTGTCGCCGCCCCTTGGACCTGGGGTGGAGGTCCGGCTTAGCAGGTACCCCAGGCCCGTGGGGCGGGGGGCGGGTGAACCAGGGGCGCTGCCAAGTCCCGACCGTCTGGGTACCCCCAGCCGCGGCCCCTCCCCAGGCCCGCTCACCCGATGACGTAAGCCAGGATGAGCAGCTGCACCACGCGGTTCATGAGCCCCACTTTACGGCTGCGGATGAGCACGATGCGCGGCGTGTCGTACTCGAACAGGAAGGCCCCGAGCGCGGAGCAGCAGCCGGCCATGGCTCCGCGGGGTCGAGCACGCCGGGGTCGCCTCGTCGCCTCCTGCTGGGTCCCGGCTGCGGCCCCGCCCAGCAGCTCGGGCAGGCCCCGCGGCGGCGGCGGCGGCGGCGACGCCCGGAAATAGGCGGCGCGCGTGGCCTGGGGTGCGCGTCTCCTCCCCGCCCTCCTAGCCACCCGAGGCCTCCGAGGGCGAGGCTCGAACCCGTGACCCCCCTCAAGGCGCTCGAGTTTGCAGAGCGAGAGTGGCTTTGCCCGCAGGGATGAATTACACCCCAGGGGAGCACTGTCAACTTGAAAGTGACCGGGGTAATGACGCCCTCAGGCCTAGGAGGAGTGAAAGGCCGATGGGTTCCACCACCTTGCAAAGGGCTGCTCAGCTAGGATGCAGGATAATGAGCCACTCCCCTGGGGGAACTTAGGTCAGAGTGACATTCCTAGAGGACCTGAGCGCAGAGGAGGGTAGCTTGCTCTGGCTGTAATGGAGGAAGCTGCGCCATGCTGCATTCTGAACCTGTGGGGTCGGGTGGGTAGTGAGGGGTGGGTGTAAACATCTGGGGTCCTGGGACGTCTGTAGTAGTCAGCCACATGTGCCATCATATACCCGTCCTAGAATTGAAGTCAGGAAAAATATACCCGTTCCCTTCATCCATTTTCATAGGTGTTTTCTATTTAGTGTGACCAATGCACCCACGAAGTGTGTTAATACGCTCCTTCCTTACACCAGGTACTGTGTCCAGTGAACATAACAAGGAGAGAAAGCATCTTGGCCTTGTGCAGTATAAATATGGCAGGTAATTTATACAAGATTTCGGGTTCTAATCCTACTCACTGGTTCTTTTCGTTTCCCACTTCACATTTCTTTTATTCCATGTGCGTTAGCTTTCAGTCACTGTGACAGAAACCCGAGAGGAAACAAAAATCAAAGACATATGTGGGCTCACAGTTTCAGAGGTTTCCATGGTAGTCATTGGGCTCCGTTGATTTGTCTTGAGATGAGGCAAAATACCATAGCATGATTGGAGTAGACCTCCTCAGTCCGTAGCAGCTGGGGACCAGACGTGGGAAGGCATGGGGACAAGATGTGTCTTTCCAGGACTAGCTCCCGATGAACAACTTACTTCAATTAGGCTTCACCTTCTACTTCCTACAACCTCCCAATATTGCGATTGGTTGTTGATAAGCTAGGTCCCTCAGGATGTTCCTGTCACCTCTCAGTGATGATGTCTACAGTTTGGCTAAGACTCCGTCAATACACAAATCGCAGTGCCATATTACCACAGACTCGTGTTATCACTAAGTCTTAATCTAGGAACTGTTCTAAAAACACGATGGCCTGGTGTGGTGGCACATACCCTAGACTGCCGGCACTCTGAAGGCAGAGCTGGGAGGATTGTTTAAAACCAGCCCGGTCCTACATACCTAGTTCTAGTCCCACCTGGGCTAGAGTGAGACCCTGTTTCACTCTGTAGTCAGGGAGGAAGGTACTTGCTGCCAGATCTGACAACTGGAGTTCAATCCCTGGAACCCACATGGAGGAAGAAGAGAACAGACCCTCACAATTGTCTTTTGACCTCTCCATGTGCCACGGCGAATGCACTCCTTCCAATCAACTGTTAAAAAAATTCTAAAACACAGCCGGGCGGTGGTGGTGGGGAGTGATGGCACTCGCCTTTAATCCCGGCACTCGCTTTTAATCCCAGCACTCGGGAGGCAGAGCCAGGTGGATCTCTGTGAGTTCGAGGCCTGCCTGGGCTACTGAGCGAGATCCAGGACAGGCTCCAAAACTACACAGAGAAACCCTGTCTCAGAAAAACAAACAAACAAATTCTAAAACACAAGAATAAATATAAGCAATGTGACTTTTCCTTAATTCCTCTTGTCTATTGTCTATGTCTTCCTGGGTTTTAGATCCTGAGTTTCTCACATGCAGGACAAACGCTCTGCTGCTGAGTTACATCCCCATTGCTTCTTATTTTGTCATACCTATTTGGTCTTTTTAAAAATTTTTATTCATTTTTTTCCTTTTTTTCCTTTCTCTTTTATTCATTTTTAAAGGATTTTTTAAATTATAGGTACTTGTGTGAGTATGGAGTGTGTTATGAGCATGTGCAGGTGGACATTGGATCCCTCGGAACTGGAGCTCTAGGCAGTTGTGAGCTACCTGATGTGGGTGCTGGAAACCACACCTGGGTCCTCTGGAAGAGTGGTCCACACTCTTAACCACTAAGCCACCTTCTCCAGCCCGTTATTATTATTGTTGTCGTGCATGGTTGGGGTGTGGGGTGAGCTTTGTGCATGTGCATACAGATGAGGCCGGATGAGGATGTCAGATCCCTAGGAGCTGGAATGTTGTGAGTCACCTGACCTGAGTGCTTTAACTGAACTTTGGTCCTCTGCAAGAGCAGTGCTGGATCAACCCCTGAGCCATCTCTTCAGCCCTATAAACAGTCTTCCTTCACAGAACATCTTAGTTTATTTCCTGGCTGTGAGATTCCTGAGATATATGACCTTGGTTTTTCAAACAAAAAATGTTACCCTTTAATCCCAGCAGAGGCAGAGACTGGCCAGCCCAGTCTAAATAGCAAGTTCCAGGTCAGCCGAGGTCTCAGTAGACCCTCTTTAAAAAAGAAATTCAGTAAGGAAATCTGCATCTGCCTCTAGAGATAGAATGAAATTAGGAGGAATAACCCAGGAAAAGGAAGTGGTGTGTGTGTGTGTGTGGGGGGGGTGGTCTTACTCACGTGATGGGTATTTACTGAGGCCTGGCCTGCGGTGGTGTTGATGCTGGGCCTGTGGGGGCTAGAGACAGGCCAGACAGAGCTCTGCTGAGATGCAGGCATTTGCAATTGGGAGGAAAGAAAGGACAGCCCATAGGCCTTTTTGGATGTAACTTACAAATGCCTTTCCTCGAGAATGAAAGTACATGTCCAGCCCTGGTTAACACTACCCCACCGTAATGAGTTGGCCCAGCCTTAGGAAGTCCTGAATGTCCGCAGTCTGCTCATGTTTTCTTGTTTTGTTTTGAGAGAGAGAGAGTTTCTCTGTGTAGCTCTGGCTGTCCTGGAACTCACTCTGTAGACCAGGCTGCCCTCGAACTCACAGAGATCCGCCTGGCTCTGCCTCCCGAGTGCTGGGATTAAAGGCATGCGCCACCACAGCTGGTAGGCTGCTCCTGTTTTCTATAAGAGCAGACCCAATCAGAGAAGCTGATTCTGAAAAATGATTAGGAAAAGAAAGTTTTGCATCTATGTTCTTGCCCTTAGTTGATCTTTCTTTCTGTAGACCAGGCTGGCCTTGAACTCACAGAGATTCTCCTGACTATGCCTCCTGAGCAATGCCACTAAAGGCATGTACCACCATTGCCCAGCTTTATTTGATCTTTCTACAACCAGCTTTAGGAGCTAGGGATGAACCCTGTGGAGGAGAGTTTGCTCTACGTGCACAAAACCCTGAGTTTGACCCCCAGTGTCATAAGGACAGATGTCACTGAGGGTGTTTGTGTGTGCATGTGTTTGTTTGAGATGGTCTCTATGTAGCTGAGGTTGGCCTCAAATTTACCATCCAACTGCCTCAGCTCCTCAAGATACGTAGATACAGCACAGACTGCACCCAGCTCACATCTCAGATCTTAATCGAGTTCGGTTGTTTCCTGTGTCATGTGCTTGACTGAGTGTGGTTGGTATTATGCAACCTTGGGACTTCAGTAAGGCTGTTGTTAAGTACGGGCGCCCACACAATCCAATGAGGGAAGAGTAGGCTTCCACAAATGACATGGGAGCCACGTGCAAAAGAATGAAGCTGAATGCCTGCCGCTGCCAGGTATAAATTAAGTTTGTCTAACAACTATAAAAGGCATAAATATCTGAGCTCAAATTATAGACCTCTTCAATAAAGTCCTAGGTACAGAACTTTGAACCTTGAATTAGGCAGTGATTTTTTTGTTTTTAGATTTAATTTAAACACAGAAAACAAAAGGAAGAAAGTACTTGTACTTTGTTACAATTAAAGTTTTGTCCTTTAAAGAAACAGGTCAGTATAAAGACCCCCACAAAGTCGGGGAAGTGCTCACAGGTCACGCATCTCGTAAAAGCTCAGAACCTGAAATATCTCAAGTAATGTTACTTAAAATGAACAACACAATATAGAAATAGGCAAAAGAAAAAATTGAATAAGCTTTTCTTTACCCAGGTATATATACCTGTAGTCTGAGCACTTGGAAAGTGGAGGCAGGAGGATCAGGAGTCCAAGGTCATCTTTGGCTATGTAACAAGCTTGAGTCCAGCCAGGGTTACATGAGACCTCATCTCAGACCAAAATGGGGGGAGCACAATTTTTTGAAACTATGTAAATGGTTAGTAAGGATCTGAAAATGTGATTAGTTATTAGAGAGACAAAAAATTAGACTCAGTATCACAAGATGAGATACCATTTCATTCACATTAGCAAGACTCATGACAAAGATAATTAGCCCGGAGAGTTGGTTCAGCAGCAGATAGGAACACTGGCCACTTTGATTCCCAAGGCTACATAAGCATCTGTAACTCCAGTCCCACCATATCTAACATCCTCTTCTGACCTCAGTGGGTACCAGGCATGCATGTGGTACACATATATAAAGGCAAAGCATTCATACACATAATAAAATTTAATTAAAAAAATGGGCAATAGCTGGTTGGTGGTGGCACACACCTTTGATTCCAGCACTCGGAAGGCAGAGCCAGCGGATCTCTGAGTTCAAGGCCAGCCTGGTCTACAGAGCAAGATCCAGGACAGCGAGGGTTACACAGAGAAACCTTATCTCGAAAAACTACACACATATATGGATCTATAGTGTTAAACAGAATTACCATGTGACCCAACAAATTCAGTCCTAAGTATGTATTTCAGAGACATTTTGTTGTTTTGAAACTAGAACTCCCACTGTAGCCCAGACCAGCCTGGGATTTTCAGTAATCTTCCTCCTACACTTCCTGAGCACTGGGATTACAGATGTCACACCCTGCACTTCAGAGATTAAAAAAAAAAAGATTGCTTCTACAAAAACTTTGTATGAATGTTCAAAGCAGCACTTGTAAAAGTCAGGAAGAAGATAACCTAAATGTCTCCC